GGTGTGGATACCTTGTTGAGGAATAATTCTGGTGGGTATTTGTGTGTGTGGGGGTGTGTGTGGAGAGGGGGGAGGTGTGTGTGTGTATGGATGTGTGTGTGTGTGTGCATGGATATGTATGTGTGTCCCTGTTTTTCTTGTTACAGAACGTCCCCGTAGCATGTATAGCATGGCCTCCTTTTTTGCACACCTTTCTGTGAGCGTTCACTTCGGGTGTATTTTGGTGTACATTGGTTCGGAAAGGGAGTAAGTTATAACCGTAAGTTTTACGGTGATTCTTTTTTTTTCTTCGACAGGTCAGACCGCCCTTGACCTTGCCCAGTCGGTGAAGATGAAGCAGGTGCTGGGGGTGGAGCCGGTGAAGTCGCTACAGAAACAGCCGCAGAGATACGAGGGCTTGTTGCTGAAGGTGAGGGATCTGTGAGGTTTTTTGTGAAGTTTTTTATGTGGTTCTGTGAGTTTTTTTGTGAAATTCTGTGTGGTTTTGTGTGAGGTGAAGTATGTGAGATTTGTGAGGTTTTGTGTGGTGAAATATGTGAGGTTCTGTGTGTGAGGTTTTGTGAGGTGAGATCTGTGAGGTTGTATGAGGCTCTGTGTGAGAATTTTTTTTTTTAAAGGTTTTCTGGGGTTCTTTGAGGTGAGATATACGAGATTCTTTGTGGTTTTGTGAGGTGAGATTCTGTGAGGTTATGTGAGGTGAAATATGTGAGATTCTGTGAGGTTATGTGAGGTTTTTTGTGGTTTAGTGAGGTTGTGTGTGGTTCTGTGAGGTTTTGAGAGGTGAGATGTGAAGTTCTTTGTGGTTTTGAGAGGTTCTGGGGTGAGAAATGTGAAGTTTTTTGTGGTTTTGTGAGGTTCTGGTGTGAGAAATGTGAAGTTCTTTGTGGTTTTGTGAGGTGAAATGTGAGGTTCTTTGTGGGTATTTTTAGGATGTTCTGTGAGGTTCTGTGTGTGTGGTTGAAGGGTAGCTCTGGTGTGGTCTGCTTCTTCTTTGTCTCCTCAATTTTTTTTTTTTTTTAAATTTATTTTGTCTGTTCTTGGCTGTTCTGTGTTGTCTTTCTTGTTCCTGCCTGGTGCTGCGGTGTGGTCTGTTTCTTCTTTATCCTTTCTTAAGTTAAATTAAATTGAATTTTCCTCAAATAATGTTAGTGTAACGTTTGTTGTAATGCAGACAAATGCCTAAGACTGTTTGTATGCTAATTACGGCCTGTTGTTTGTTTCAGAAATCTCGGTTTGTAGGGTTCAAGTTGATGTGGGTGGTTCTGGACCATGGCGTGCTGTCTTACTTTCAGAACAGGTGAGTGGAAATACAGGGTGATCCTTAAAAAGAACAGACACAATTCATTTAAAAGGAATTTGTTTGCCAAAAAAAATACACAGAGAAAAAACTTATTTTGAACAAGGAAATAGCTTTAAGAAAAAAGCACCCATAAAGGCAAAGTTCAGCTATTTTTTAAATCATGGCGCAATATGGAGGGTGAAATGGTGACAGATGATGGTGCTGGAAGCAG